GCCAGAGGTGATTTACTTAATAAAATGTTTGATAAACAGCAAATATTTTCAAGAGAAGTTTGATACAAGTGATCATCGGGAAGAGTTAGTAATTTGCATCTCTATAAAATATATTTATGAGAATATATTTTATAAACTTTATTATAAAAGTTTTTTAAAATATTAATAAATTTTTGAGTAATAAAACTTTAAAGTTTTTGTTTAAAATTTTTTTTTATTAAAAATTTTTCAAGATTCTTTAAGATTTTATATATTCCTGAAGCTAAAAAAATTTTTGCTCTTAATACAAGTCTAAATTTTTATAAATAAATTATAAAAGTTGTAATAATAAAAATATTATTCTTTATATAAACTAAAATATTGTATTAAGAACTATATCTTTAAAATTAATATTTAAAAGGTTCACCAAAAATAAGTTGATAATTTTTTTCATTAAATTTTTTTTTTAAATTAGTCTATTTTTATCTTATAAGTAACTATAACTTTTTTTTATAATATAAAATTAAATACTGCTATAATATAATCTTTATTTTTAAATATTATAGTACAAGATACTTAAAGACTACATTTGTCATATTTTTAAAAATTTTATATTAAAATTTAATATTTTTTTGATTTCTCATATTCTAATTGGTCAAAAATTAATTAATAAAAAATATTTTAAAAATAATTTTAAAAATAATTTTAAAAGTAGCTAATAGCAAGAGGCCAAAACAAGTGAGTTGTCCCATTTTTAGTTAAATTTTTATATATAATATAAAAATACTATATTTTTAAAGCTATATATTTTGAAAAGTTATTATAACTTTTTAAAAAATAAGGCTACTAAGTTGTTATAAATTAATTTAGCTACAAAATAGTAGCTTTCTTTTTAAAATATTTTTTTAGATCATAAGTTATTAGCTTTTAAAATTTGTGTAGTCTTTAAATGTCATGCACTGTATTAAAAAAAATTTATTTAATAGGCAATCCACCTGAGACCTGGACAAAAATTTTTTATATATATATAAATTTTACTATAAGCCTGAATGTGCAGCGCCCCTATCTAAAACTTTTTTTTTACTAAATAAATCTCTCTTGAGCTTCTAACAAAAGTTGTAGAGCCCATCAAAATACATTTAATAGTAATAAGAATATTAAAATTGGTTTGGTAGTTCTTGAGAAATCTTTAAAAAACTTTTTTTTTACATATAAAATTTCTTTAAAAAAAATAAATTTTTTTTAAAGAAATTTTATATGTGAAAAAGAAGTTTTTTAAAGATTTCTCAAGAACTACCAAGCCAATTTTAACATTCTTACTACTATTAAATATATCTTGATAATCTCTACAACTTTTATTAGAAGCCCAAAAGAGATTTATTTAGTAAAAAAAAGTTTTAGATAGGGTGTTGCACATTTAGGCTTATAGTAAAATTTATATATAAAAAAAAAATTTTTGTCCAGGTCTCAGGTGGATTGTTTATTAAATATATTAAAATTTAAAAAAAAGTAGACTACAACTATATTTATAATAATTTTTTAGACAAATTTGTCTAAAAAAGCTTACAAATTAAAAGATAATAATTAGTTTAATATAATAATAGCTATTTGTAAAATTTTTTAAATGATATATTGCTGATATAATAATTTGATAAAAATATATTTGAACTTTATATTAGTAATTAGTGTATTAGCTTAAATTTTAGAATAATAGACTTATGATTGCTTACTTGTCTTTAAGTATATTTTAAATAATTTTTATAATTTTAGATTATTTGCTAATTACTTAATAATTGACTAATTATTTTTAGAAAATTAATAGCTGATATTATTGATTGTTTATTAATATATAAATATTGTCTTTCTGATAATATAAAAATTTTATATGATATATTACTGTTTAATATTTTATTAAATAATATTTATATTATATATACTAATTTTATATTTATTAAATATAATTATTTCAAATAAATTCTATTTTGAAAAAATTTATTGCCAATAGCAATATCATCTGAGATACTATATTTCAAAAATCTACTAGCTAACACATGTTGAAATATGTTCAGAACCTCCAAAAATCTAACTATAACCAAGATTTGGACCTTTATACCTAATTCTATTCTGGTTTAAAATTGTATCCTATCTCTGAATTTGTTAAAAAAATAGCTTGGTTTCAGGCAAATGTAATGTATGCAGAAGCACGAAGCCTTACTTATGCCAATTTCCTATCTTAATGGACTTATAATATACAAACAAAAATGTAGAAACCAAGGCAGAGAGGATACACCATTGGTCATATGTATTTTGCTCATACTGCAGCAGATAAATAATATTACTTAAGAATGCTACTCAATGTAGTTGTTGGTACAATGTTCTTTGATGATATTTGTACTGTGAATAAAATTCTCTATTCTTCTTTCAAAGAGGCTTGTATTGCTTTAAGCCTATTACAAGAAGATGAAGAATTGGATCATTGTTTGACGGAGGCTGCGCACTTACAACAGAAACACAATTACGTAATTTATTTGCCACACTTCTTATCTTTTGCGATCTATTAAGGCCTGAAACCCTCTGCGAAAAGTATATTAATACTCTCAGTAATGATATACTTTTTCAAGCCCGTTGTAATAGTGGAAATATGGTTTTTGAACTTATAAATACTGACATATACAATAGGGCTCTTCTTCATCTTCAAATCATCTTAAGCAAACATGGCAGACATCTTTGATGAGTTTCCTCATATACTTGTTCCGGTTACTTTCTCTAATAATGAACCATATAACTACCTAATTAGAGAAAAGCAACAATATAACTTTGAAAAACTTACAGCAATTATTGAAAATGAACTTCTACTTTTGAATGTAGATTAGCGAGCTATTTTTGATAGTATAATTAGCTAACTATAAAGATCGTGCACAAGTACTATAATCAATTAAAGTAAACCTTATAGTAATTTTGTTGAAGATTCATGTTACGAAACACAGATATTAAATTTTAGCCAATCAGCACAACTCTATGATAAAAAAAGATGGTCTCTGACCATCTTTTTTTTTATTGCGATAATGAACTTGCTTGACCGAATAATTCATTTTCCACTAATTAAAATTTGAACTCAGACCTATTAATTTAGATGCTTGAAAGCACCCTTAAATTACTTCAATCAACTATCCTTATTATTAGTAATAATACTAAATATTGTATTAAAAAATTGCATTCATTATAAAATTACTTATTTAAATATTATTAAATAGAATCCTGCTTGCATACATTTATTTAAAAAGATATATTGCTCTTGCTGTAGCATCTTCGGGTATTGCTGCGCTTCTTTTATTAGGTGGCAGAACTGCTCACTCTAGGTTCAAAATACCTTTTGATCTACATGAAGACTCTACCTGTTCCATACCTCATGATTCTGAATTAGCTTCTCTTTTGCAGAGTGCATGCTTTATTGTCTGAGATAAAGCCCAATAGTACATCAGCATACACCTGAAGCAGTAGACAGAACTTTACGAGACATTATGAAAACTGTAGATCAATCACTAGAGAATAAGCCATTTGGAGACAAGGTTGTAGTATTTGGAGGAGATTTTTATCAAATTCTTCCTGTGGTAATTAAAGGCAGTAGAGAAGAAATTGTTGGATCTTGCTTGTGCAGGTCGCATCTGTAGAAACATGTTAAATACTGCCGTTAAGAATTAATATGCGTCTCCTTCGCATTACAAATGAATCAGATTTTGCAGAGCAAGAAGATTTTGCTAATTGGCTACTTAAAGTCAGAGAAGGTCATATTTCCACTATTGCTGGGACAGAGGGTGATACTATTCAACTTCCTCAAGAAATTGTTTTGCCGACCCAAGATATAAATGCTTTGATCCGCTTTATTTATCCTGACTTCTCTGCAGATTCGGATCCTCAATACTTAGTTGAGCACGCAATACTTGCTCCAAAAAATGAACATATCAATGCTATTAATGCTGCTATTATGAACCAATTTCCTGTAGATGCAGTCGATTATTTTAGTGCAGACATAATTGAAAGTCAAACAGATTCAGAGCACCAGTATCCGATAGAGTTTCTCAACTCTCTTACTATTGGAGATTTCCCTCCTCATAAATTAACTTTAAAAAAAGAATCTCCGATTATACTGTTACGAAATATCCATCCTCCCAACGGTCTTTGTAATGGAGCCAGGTTAGTTTGTCATTCTTTCCAAAAGCATGTTATTGAAGCAGAGATTATTACTAGAAAACATGCTGGAGTCCGGACCTTTCTTCCTCACATTACCTTATCACCCTCAAACGTTAGTCTACCTTTTACCTTTAAACATTGACAATTCCCAGTGCAACCTGCTTTCACGATAACCATTAATAAGTCTCAAGGACAAACCTTAAATTGGGTCAGTTTGTATCTTCCAACTCCTGTTTTCTCTCATGGACAGTTGTATGTTGCCCTTTCGAGGGTAACATCCAAAAAGAATTTAAAAACCCTTATTAGTAAATTGCAAGAAACGACTACAAGTTGTCATGATCATACCATGTACCCTGAGATCTTTCAATAAATTAGCAAACTTTGTTTCTTGCTTTTTATACTTGCTATTTTTTTAATTATAAAAAGTAAACTCTTCTAATTCACTGAATTCAAATGAAAATTAGGAAACCCGTCTTAAAAAGATTTCTACCTCACAGTCCCTTTAAAAAATCATAAAAAAAAAAAAATTACGACAGAACGAATTATACTCACGTATCATAAAAAGCGCCTTTGTCGACTTAAGATTATCAATTATATATTAAGTATACCGTAACGGTAATGGTAAGTAAGAATGTTAAATTAATCCGGATCAAAAGATCGAAGATCAATGATCCAAATTGCCATTTCCATAATACTAGACTAGATCGGTCTTAGATCAGATCGATGGACCAATTTAGCATCCTTGCAGACTTTGTACTCTGTAATACTGTAATACTGCATCGTGGCAAATGCTTAAATTTGTAGATATCGTATGCAGCGGTATAAACCAGACTTCAGATATATATGTTAAGCTAAATCTGTACGTATGTACGTACGTACGTAGAAAAATTCTGAAATCTTCAACGATCCATATTTAATATATTGTACGACCGAAATTATTGCTGTTACAGTCGAGGTTAGCTTACCAAAAATGTAGATCGCCCTTTTTATAGTATAGAAATACAGATCAAGTGATTCTTTTTGTTTCGGTTACACGAATCGGAAGCTGAGTTATATATTAATTTATGT